GGCCACCTTGAAAATAAAGGTGTAGTTGGCACCTTGCCAGGTATAGAGACCCAGGGTAGCTATGTAGCTGTGGTTTTCAAGCTAAATTCAAGGTGGCCTGAGACCACGGTTTGCTGCCCTGAAACACTCTGTTCAGGCCACCTTGAAAATAAAGGTGTAGTTGGCACCTTGCTTGCAGCTACCAGGTATAGTACTTCAAGTTCCCTTTCCGTCAACCGCTCGATAGCCTCTACACACGCGCAGCAATCCACAGCTTTGAAGTCTCATTCGTGCTTTGAACTTGTGTGGGTGTGTAAGAGGTTTGGCAACATAGTATTTGTACAGACCCAGGCTAGCTTCAGAGCAACATGCAAACGACTATAGGATTAAAACTAAACTAAATAAGCCACCTGCCTGACCTTAGTTTTGGGCACGTTCAAGGGCTGGATTCAATCTTGTGGGCATGCTTCTGCTTGCACCAGAGTGGTCGACTGTGGACACCTGAAGGGGACTCAGGTGAGGATTTGGAAGGTCAGTCAAGGGTCCATATGCAATATGTTTCCATAATCCAACCCTTAGGGTTTATAGGCGGTATGTCTAGGTGCACACTCCCCGAAATAAGCATAGAAGTGGATGGCATAGCCCCAACAGGTGGTTTTCCACTTCTATGATTAGTTCAATCGATGTACACAGTGTACCCCTTGGACTTTTTTGTATCTCCATTGCTCACTGGCCATTTCTGAAGGTCTATCACACTTGTGGGTGCAATGATGAACCGGTGATGTCAATTATCGAGCACCCAGCAATAGTTGGTGAAAACCAGACCATAGGTAGGGTCATGCTCAACCTTAGTGGATCAGATCCAGTGTCAACCTGTAAAGCAAGTCCCGTTCATGTGGCCATGCTGCACTTCCCACAGTGAGACCTCCCATTCCATGTACAGACACCAAATGATGTCAATGTGGATAGATTTGGCTACGGCCTAAAACATCGGATTCCATCCAAACCCCCCCCTGTGCAGAGGAAATTTCCGGGCAAAATGACACCGAATCCCTCAATTGCCAGGAAGCGCAGGTTTTTGTTTTGACATGGTTACCTCTGTGTGGGCAGAACAAGACATGAAGCAGATTTGACACGCGGCCGCAAGCAGCTGCGCGAGCTCATTTGCTTGCTTCGACGCGCAGTTGTCGAGAAAGGGAAGCGCTGGCTTTCGTTTTGCAGCTTCTCAGGTGTTTTGAATGAAGGTGGAGGGCTCAAATCGTGAGTACCTCTGGTTACATATCTGGATAAGTGACGGATTCACCAGAAGACTGTTGAAAGAGAAGTTTTCTTGCACCCGCACCCTTACTGCCAGGTCTCCTCTAGAGAGTAGGGAAGGGCCCAGCTACGGTCTCCAGTGGTAGATCATTGGATGTGGCAGAGCTTTTCTTTCAGATGGCTTTTTAATGTCTTTCAACAGTGGGTATTCTTGCACTTGAGTCATATTTCATGGAGTATAGATCCAGTAGTACCAGCTGAAATAGTATGGATCCAGTAACTACCAGTATGATCCAGTGGTCCAGTAGTAGTTCATGGAGTATAGAACCCTATAGTAGTCCAGCTCGAGACTATTTGTTTGTACCATCAAAGTTACGGGTCACCTACAGAATCTATCCAGACCATGTTCACAATGGTCGACTGGACTGGCAGGGTCAATGTATTATTGTCCTATTCCAGATGGGTCGGAATTGGGCCCTGTTTTCCCCTTCTCACGGAGATCTCCCGTGAGACTTTCTTGCCGCAGACACTCCATGGGACTGGGACTGGCCTATTTGCATACATTGAGGCGGTTGATTCAGGGGTCTTTCTGGGGCGGCATATCTATTCCAGTCCCAGACAGGTCGTGCTTGGCTTGGGGTGTTTTTCATCGCGCCATGTCCTCACCTCCACGGGCGAGCAGCGCGCTGCAGTGCGCCACTGAGGGCAGCAGAACCACGAGCGACAAGATGAAGCGAAGCAGCTCTTCCAGCGGGTGAAGGTCCCTTCGGTGTTCGGAGGGTATTTGCGATCATCTTTCTGCAATCATCGTGGGATCGCTGATGGGTCGCTGATGGTGGTAACCAACAACCCGAGGCGGAAGAACGGACGGATTGATAATGTTTTTTTTGCCGGAATAAGCATGGTTGTTTTTGTTTGCATGTTTTGCCCTATAAGGTGTGAGTTTCAATCTGCAAAACCAGGTCAACCCTTCAAAACCAGGTCAACCTAAAACCGTCAACCGGTTTTGGAAGGCTAGGGTGATGATAGGCAGTATGTTAGAGTGCATAAGCCTCATGGGTTCGTTCAATCCGTGTTTCTGGATTAGCCTGAGCCTCAACTTGCTAGGCCGCCCGCCGAACACGAACACAGAAGCCCCCCTAGATGCTTGGAGTTTCGTGAACGTGTTCTCTCCCATGGGCGCGCCCGGAAGTGCCTGAAGCGCCTCAAGTACCATGTAGTGTGGAACCGCTTGGGCACAAACAGTGTGGGTACGGTGTTTGACTGCAGTGGGTCAAAACCTCAAGTACCAAACAATGGAAGGTTGAGGAATTTGTTCATTTTCGGTGGTCCGACCTGGAGCCATACAGACATACCGCCCCAGACACTGTTTGGTATGGTTTGAGAGGTAGGTTGTGAGGTATGTAAACAGGGCGCCAATCCAACATATGAGACACTCCATGTTGATGCTTCTTGAAGTCTCCAGATATCGACCCAGCCTTTTCCCCGGTCGAATCCTGCAAGACCCGCTTCACGCGGTCGGACGTTCCTCCCTTGACCCTGACACGACCGCCCGCCACGCGAAGAGGGGACATCTCAATTCGACCGGCGGCTGGATAGATGTTATAAGATCCGGTAAGAATAAACAACTGTTGTCCTCCTGAAATGTTTGTATTATCCACCTTTATATACATTGAGATGATTGATCCCACTCATTTCTGTTCGTTGAGTTGAAACCAACCAGAACAACAATGGGCGGTGTCCTGAAAACACAATTGAATGGCCAGCCTGGTGATGTGATTTTAACATCCCAATTTCCAATGACTCCTTTCGAGAACAGTGCACAATGTTTGCCTTGGTTGGTTGTGTGGATGAAAAGGCCGGACATGTTGCACATTTAGAAGATTCCGATACCCTCCCTCCAACAATCATGGAGGTGGACAACAGCCTCCTGGAATAGATATATGATTTTTCCCCTACTCCCCCACAAAATCTACAAACAAGGGATTGTCTACTTTTGTATTTCTTTCAGGGGGTGTATATCATCTATGGTGAATTGAACCCACCCAGGACGCCTCTACCCCTCTCCAGGACGCCTTCGACCACCTCAACACGGCGGTGAAGTAGCGAGACGTGGCGCGGGTCCTGAAGTCTTCAGGCGAGAGGAACATGAGTCGGCTGATCAGCGAATGCCTTTCTTTGTGAACTTACAGTTTGTGAACTGTTTGTACCTTAGAGTCTACTGAGGTAAGTGCCTTTTAATGACCTGTTTGTGAACTGGGACTGTTTGTATGTTTCATGAATCATGAATCTGAATGATAAACTATTCCAGTGCCATGGATGGTCTGTTCTGTAACCGAAAAGGCACACGTCCGGGACCACGACCTGATGAGTCCGTTCGGGACCGCGCGGAGCAAACGGCGCCGATCCAAAGAGAGGGCGCTCCCGCTCCGCTATTTTCCGGTGCTGCTGATGAACTTGGTCTAATTGATCACAGTCAAGGATAGCTACAAGTGATTTGATATATTGCATGACGACATGACATGTTCAGCTTGGCAGCGGTCTATCTACTTACATGTTATTGCAACTCGTACAACTAGTCAGGAGGCGATGAGCTCTCACTGGTCACATTTGTAAGTACTATTACAACGCCAGCTGATTTTGGTGTTTTTGACCTGCGATGAGCAAATGGATGCAAATGGCTTTTGCAAAAACATCGAGCAAACCACACCCAAAAGTGCCTGTGTATATATATAGAGCACTTCGACCAAACCACGTGATGCATGTTTGTGTGGCACGGTGCCATGATTTGCCATGGCCTTCCTAGTGTGGGGTGGAGGTGTTGCAGGTTATTTGTTTCAAGATCCTGCGAAGATTTAGGCGGCAGCTACAATACTCGCAAGCAGAGGAATACACGCCTGGCGCGCTCTTTCCGGAGCTATTCATAG